AGAGGGCACATATAAGACAATGTTGTTAAATGAAACAATAGTCAGGATGAAATATCTGTCCTTACTTGAAGTATCTCTCTTTTGAAGTCCTGTTAATGAAGGGAGTGAAGAGTCTCAAAATAGTATAAAATGTTTGTAAGTTTCAAAAAAGTATGGAAGACCCCAAATTGAAAGATAGCCCTGTAGCCTTCTAAAATTCTGCCAGTTCAACCTGTTTACCGAGCTCAGTGAAAATGATGCAGATAATTCTGTTATTTTATCAGGAAGTGGCTGAAAGCAGTGGCCAGCAATAGTTTCCTGGTTTGTGGTAGCAGTTGGATGATCAGATGAAAAAGCTTTTACTTCTGAATAGTTGTTCAGAGGAGCAGATGTCAACACGTGCACTTTATCATGCAAGCTAGAAATCCCCAATTTTCCATTGTGATTGATGATGTAGGAAGGAACTGCATCTGGTTACTTCAGGTAGCAGAACCCACTCATGAGATCTCACATCACTGTCTGTATTGGGCAACTGGGCCAGTTTATTGTTACAGTGTGCCAAAAGGGAGAAACAAGCAATCTTCCTGTCTGCAATGAAGAGGCTAAAGAGTTTGTGGGGCAGACTGTTTTCCCTCCTGGCTCCTAGGCTTAAATACTCTCTCCCCATTCTTTACCAATGTTATCTGCCATGGTGTCTTGGCAGCTTTGAATTCCCCTTCGTAGCAGATGGGTCTGCATTTCCCCCTTACAAATAACATCCAGTCTTTCGTGATCCAGGCAAATCACTATAGGAAGTAAAGATGGGGTGCACAGATGGTAGAACAACTGGGACTATTTTTTACACTCTATTCTTTAGACTGCTGAAATGAAGAACTGATTGGCTGACCCTATTTCTGGTATTTTAAGGTCAGTGGTAGTAAATAAAATTGCAGGTCAGCTTCAAACTGCTTTTGAATGATTAGGTGGGATGGTACGGAAATGCCCTTTGAATGGATGCAATGCAGTCCTACATACACATAAGTGCTAAGTGGTTTAGGGAGCAAGGGCAGATAGAATTGCTTAGTTCTTTGGGAGTATTTTAATGGTTCCCTTAGCACTGATGGACCTGTACAATTGTCACTCCTAGATTATTCTTTTTTAAATCACACCAAATGGTGCAGAAGACGCTTGACAAAAAGGGTGGTCTGATGGAAATATAATGCTTGAGAGGTATGAGCCAGCAAATTATTTCTGAGGAAAGAAATAATATTAAACTGATGACAACTGGTTAGAAATGTGCAGCTATTAAAAAATAAACATTCCTTCTGAAAATATCAATGTAGAGATTGCTTCATTTGGCATTCTACTCAGATGATTTGGTGTGACTGTATACTCTGAGGACAAATCTTAATATCAAAGCAGAGAGAGAGTGTGTGTGGGTGTTCTAATAATAATAATTTAATTTAATTTAATAATGGATGTTTTAGCACACATTGTTAATTTTTTCTTAAGAAGAAAAAAGAAAATGAAGCAGATTTCAATGATTTTCACCTTGTTCACTCTAAACAAAGTTAATGGCAAGGTATTGTCTCTTTGAGATTCTGTTATTTTTCCTCAGAAAGTCAAGCTTTCATTCTGAAGATGTTTAGACAGCTCAAGGTTAAGGTAAAAGGCTTGCAAGCAGAAGCAATTAAGCTATTTTATTGGAAAGTAAAACAAAAAACCCTCATGCATTATAACTAAATAAGAACATGTTTCAAAGTGCAGTGATTATTTCAAGGTTACAAAAGGTATTGAATAGCAAAATTAAACCACATTTTGTACAAACAGCTAATCAGTTTATTATCGAAGTTTTGCCAACAGCAATTTTTTTGCATCAAAAGACATACAGATCTCTTGTGTACTGCATGAATGGTTATATAAATGAGAATGACCGTTTATCCCTAGTCAGAGGAGGTGACATTTCAGATTTTTTTTTTTTTTTGTGAGAATCATAACATTTTCTCCTGCCCATACATATTTTCCTTTTTCTTTCTTCTGAAAGAGAACCAAAATAATTTCAGGTGTTTGTACATGCATAACATAAGGCAAATGGATTGCTTATACAAGTCCTTGGTAGCTAGCAGTCATACATTAAATGGGTTGGGTATTCAACTGCAGCATTATCCTTAAAATTCATCCAGTTCCATGTTTGAAATAAAACTACATGATAGTATAAGGAGGCTTCTATGTGGAAATTTTTGCTTATTTTCTTTCAGTTTTATTATCCTTCACTGTAGGCAGACTTTGAGAAAATAGGTATTATTGTAAGCAGAAGTTGTAAGAATTCGCTGAATTATGTAACAGTGTTCTTATTTTTTATTTATATTTTATTTATAATTTATATGTCATTGTCTACTGCAATTGCATTATCAAATGGAAGATGGAAGAAGCCTGTTAAAAATTAATTCTAAAAAGTTAAACATTTTATTTGATGTTGCAGATATAATTACTAATGTTTATTTTGAGAGATAGGACCCTGTTTGAACAAGTGTGCGTTTGCTAAAAATAATCATTGCAATTTTACTTATATAGCTGATATTACTGTACAGAGCCTCTGAATCAAAGCAGGAGGGATTACAAAAATGAATCCCATAAATTGAATTGATTATACACTTTATCCTATATGCTCATTTAGAGAACTGAAGGAGAAAGAGAAAGAACCAATTTTATATTGGACTTACAAAAGAGATCTGTTAAAGTTCTGAAGGATTTTGCGAGAAGGGACAAAGAAAAAAGGAAAAGAAATCAAGTTGTAGAACATTATTTGAACGGATTAAAGGTCAAGATTGTTAGAAGTAAAAGGAAGGAATATGAAGCTGGTTTATTTGAACAAGGTTAAAATAGATATGTTGCTATCTCTGGTAACCCTTCATGGACTTTTGCTGACCAGGACTGAATAACGAGGCTTTAAAGCTTTGTTTATAGATAAGAGGTAAGATACGGAAAGAAGAGATCATTTGTATTTTAAGAGAAGGTGATAAGTTACTAAAATTGTTTATACTTGTTATGAAGAAGGGGGAAGTTATTTTTTTTATATATATCTTTTTTTTTCTTTACTACATTCTTATTTTTTCTTTCTTTTCCATATTTCTTTCTATTCTTTTTTCTTTTTTTCTTTTCTACACTTTCTACTTTTTCTTTTTACTCTTTTTTTTAGTTTGTATTAGCTTTTATTAATTATAACATTTAATAAAAATTATTATTAAAAAAAGACTCAATATTTCTCCTTGTTTGTTCTGAAAGGAGTAAGCCAATGTCTCTAGTTTGGATGTGGTAAATTAACCACAAATGAAACTATTCCTGTTTATTAATTATACTCACTTGTGGGAGGACTTTGGATGCTACCAGAGTAGCATTAAGTAGAACACTGCTTGCTCGTTGCTAAGCCACATTTTCATTTAATGTGTGATGGTCATTCTGTTATTTTCCGTTGTTGTAATAGTATGTGGGAATGACCTTGAGGGATGAAGGAAAGAAATGCTGCCTAGGGAATGATCAGATAAAAGGGGGAGGAGCCTGCAGCTGCATAATGGGCAAAGAAAGAAACTTAAAAAGGATCCGCCCCAACATATCAGACTGCTAAAATTGACAGCAGGATGTTAAGGTAGCCTTATAATAAAGTAGAATTAGCTCATCTGGTCATGTTTCCTATATGGTTTACCTGGAGGGCTGACAGTTGTAGAGATGTGAACAGCCCTTAGATTCCTTGCTCAATATTGTAAAACAGAAAATTTGATGATAAATTACCAAAATAACAAAAATTCTGACCTTTAACAAAAGACCTAAAATTCATAACTGGTATGTTAATGGAAATATTATAAAGCAAGTCAAATGCTTTAACTATTTGGGAGTTATCTTTCATTCATTGGGACATAGACACCCATACCTGGCCACATATCACAGGTGGCCCAGAGGAGTGCTACAGTCATACTGTCTTTTTATTCCTTTAAATTTGGATATTCTATTCCAGCTACCCTAAAGCTATTTGAGGCAAAAGTTATGGCACAGCTACTATATGGGATTCAACTGGGGCTTTACACTAATCTAACTGCAGCAGAGAAGGTACAGTCCGAGTTTTTAAGATTAATCATGCAAGCCCCCAGATGTGTGTCAAATGCAGCTTTAAGATTAGAACTAGGAATTACAAAGCTAGAGGACAGGATCTGGATTACTAACTTTAACTACTGGCTAAAACTGCTGTTTAATCCACAGGCCTGACATTTCTGGTTAATCTACTTGGAAGATATGCATCCGAGGAAAAACTAGCAACTTATGGCTTTAATGAGGCAATACAACGGATGGGATACAATCAGGCAAAAAGATCACTGAAGGAGAGGATCCTTGATACAGGATGGCAACAAAATATTAGTTTAGCACCAAGGAAACAAATCTTGGAGACTGTCTTTTACTACTAATCCAGCTGATTATTGCCAATCCTTAATAGATCATAGACAACACAGAGCATTTGCTCTGGCTAGATTCAATGCACTCCTTTCAGCAGTCATTGACTGTAAACACCAAAAAATTCCCTTCCACAAACCACTTTGCCCTGTGACTCCCACACCATAGAGGATGTGCAACATTGTGTTGTAATTTCTATTCAAACTTGCATGATGTATTAATTTGGCCTCTCATAAAGGAACTTCCAGGAAGAGATGATCACTGATACATTTTCTACCTTCTAGCAGATCATAAGATCACTATTACCCATAATGTAGCTAAATTATACTATGAGGTTAAGGCAACACTATGGGTCAAGGTTAAGACAACTTCTATGGGATGAAACCATAGAAGATTTAGATTCAAATCCTTAATCAGTCCTAAAGCATAAACCCACCGGCGAACATGTAGCACCCTGAGCCTTCCAATGAGGAGGCTCAAAATCCTCAACCCAATGAAGATTTGAATTTAAGTCTTCTTCTATGGTTTCATCCCACTTGGGAAGAAATGTTTTTAAAAGGCAATGCTACTGAAGCGGAAGGCTCAGAAAACCATGTGTTCACCAGAGAAGCTGGGTCTGAAAAGGAAGACAGCAAAGGGAAGTGGGCACTTCTGCTTCAGCAGTGGCAGCTGGGCACAAAAGGAGAAATGTTGGTGTGGGGAACTGGGAGAGGAGGCAGCTGGGAAGTGAATGAATGGTGGGGTGCGAGTGAATGCTACCGCTTGGGGGGAGCAAATGAATGCTTCTGCATGAACAAATCCTGCCACTTGCTGAGGTTTGCCGCCCCACAAGGCAGGGACAGGGTGGCCAAAAGGGCATAGATTGGGGAGAGATAGGTGGGTGGGGGAAGTTGCAGTGCTCCTGTGGTCATAAGTGCGGGTGGGCTGCCAAACCTCAAATTTTGATCACATAATCGTGGGGATGCTGCAACGACTGTAACTTCAGGCACAGATTGTAAGTTTCAGCACCGTCGTAATTTTGAATGATCACTGAACGAATGGTCGTTAACCAAGGACTACCTGTACTTGTATACATGCAGGTCTAACACCGTAATGAAGTTTACTTACTATTGCAACAACATTATTTGTGGTTCTTTAAGGAGCCCAGATTTTTTCACAGTGGCTGGTCCTGAGTTTGAGAAACTGTTACTGTATAAAGGGAAACTCCATTCTATCATCTATCTCTCTATCTATCTATCTATCTATCTATCTATCTATCTATCTATGGCTGCCGACTTATCAAGGCACTCTTGGAATCAAAGAAAGATTAAAAACAGACTCAAAGTTACCATCTATTACAGAAAGAATCAAGGCCCTTTAAAAAAAGTCTCAATAACAACATAACAGATATTCATATACCCACATCAGAGCTCCATTAACACCCAGTGCCTGGGGAAATAGCTAGGTCTTCATGGCCTTCCAGAAGGCCAGCAAGGTCAGGGCTGTCCATATCTCATGGGGGGAGGCTGTTCTACAAGATAGGCACCATGGCAGAGAAGGTACACTTCCAAGGACACACCAAATTATGTACACTGCTTCACCCATGAGACTCAGAGCGTAATCATAGAGATCTACAACCAGATTTACACAGATACATAAATACAGGCATAATTTTTTCACATAACTGCAGCTGTTGAATTCAGTGGGAGTGAATCCCTTGTTTCCAGTCCTGAGAAGCTTGTTTGGAGAATGTAGTTTCTTTCATTCTGTTCCCCACAGCCAGGCAGGCTCTTCAAATCCAGTACATTTTACAATCCAAACCTGTTCACACAATTCAACCTTAGTTGCAGGGAATACGTTCCTGCTTAGTTGTGTTAAAAAGACTCAGGAAGTGTTTCTCTCTCTTTCTCTCCTGGCTCTTGTTGATTCCTCTTGCATTTCCTCTTTGCTGGCCCTGATCCAAATCCATGTGGGCTGCTCATTGGTCCTTTCCCATCATAGTCCACTCCACAGCTGTCACAAGCTAATTGTTTCTTGCAGACTTGGTCTCTCTAAGCATTTGGGTCAAGCACAGTCTCTGTATCTGCATGTTCTTGCACCTTTTATATCCACCTTCCTAAACTAACTTTCATTTTTTTCCCTTTTACAGTCTCCCTCCTTGATCTTCCTCCTCCTATTGGAAGGCTGCAGTTCATCTTCCCTTCAAGTTCCCTGTTGTCTGGTAAAAATCTCTTTATTTCATTCCATAATCTCTTAACCTCTTTGCTCTTGGTTACTGTGATGGAATGGAATTATGAAGGCCAGACTCAGGGAGGAAAACATGTTCTTTCATCGCCTGAGGCGAGAGAGAGAGATAAGAGGAT